TAAGATCAGAGTTTTTACACAGTATGTCAATAATGGGTGAGTTTGTGAGGAGTTTCTACAGTCCAGTCCATCTAACTTCTCTGTGCTCACACACACAGTCATGCCAGTCTCTGCTGAAGTGATGGAGGAAAACCTGAGGCAGACGATCAGAGAGGAGATGCAGAGGAGTCTGGAGGAGGTGCTCGACAAGAGGAGGCAAGAGCTGCAGCTGCAGTAAGTGGTTTTTTTTTTTTAGCCATAAAAATAATGTAGTAACTCTTCTTTCAGATTGTGTTATATGTTACAGTTGTATGTATGTTAAAGGTGAATTAAAGGCAATTTAGTAGTAAAAAAAAAAAAGGAAAACAAATCATCAGAGAGCAAAACACTTCCTTACAGCCAGGGAAATTTGAATTTTAACAAATTAAAACTAATTAAAAATTTTTTTATAACAACTACAAATACTTATATGTATTTAGTGGAGTGCTTGTCATTTTACAAAATGACTAAAAAAAACACCAATTGGAACAAATCAGAGAACAAACCTTCATTCGAGTTCAGGCTTTTATTTTGAAATGTGTTATTAGGTCCATCCTGCCTTATGTGTCTAAGCAAACGCTGATAAACAGCCAACAGGTCAGTCAGTTACTGGACTATTGTTTCATCTCTATGTATAGAGACAAACACATGGTGTGTGTGTGTGTGTGTGTGTGGATGAAGGCTGGAGCAGATGAGAGCTCTCGTTCAGGCAGAGGCCAGGGCTGCAGCTGAGGCTCAGGTGGAGGAGCAGGTGAAGAAGACGCTGGAGGCCGAGAAGGCGGCGTACATGGAGAACATGACCGGCGCCATCGCCAAGGAGAGAATGAAGACGGAGGACGAGAAGCTCATGGTGCAACTTTATGTAAGCAGTCAGTTAAGTCCTCAGTTATAATGTGTTAGTGTGAAGAGAGGCCAGCAAGAGGTTTGTTTATTAGTCATGAACAGTACATTTATTTAAATCCAGAAGATCAGAATCTATTATTAAATCTTCCTCTTAACTGTGCGGGCGTATGTGTTCCTGGTGCAACTTTACATGCTTTACGTTAGGAGTTAGGGTTAGATTTAGGGTCAAGGGTTAGGAATAAGCTGGATAGTTAAGGTTATTATTAAAGGCTGGGGCAGTGCCATGAGAAATCATCAGTTGGTCCATTGAAAAGGTTCCAATAAATTATTTGTTTATTGCAAATAATTTGTCTTAATTTTTCTGTGCAACATTGATTGGCAGAACAATCAGATACTCCTCCACCAGGTGGCAGTAGATTGTTTTAAAAATAAATAAATATAAAAGACAGACCCAGAGCTGTTGAAGTCAAGTTTATTAGGCTTGTTTATGAGATCATTATATTTCATTACATGTAGTTTTTTTTTTTTTACTTTTGTTTTGTTGGTTCTTGGGATTTTTCTAATGTAAAGTATGTGTCTGTCTCAAAAAGGTTGGGAAACAGTGGCCCTGGGGGATGCATTCTTATTAGTCAGTGCATTATTCGATTGATCCTGCAGAGAAATAACAGATAAGATGATAGGAGGAGGAAAAAACGGTGTCTGTGTGTGTCAGGTTATGTGTGGTTTTCTGCCAACTGTAACACTTTCCTCCTCTTTCTTTCCTTCCCTCTCATCCGGTCCCAGTGGTTGGAGCTGAAGGTAAGTTTTAATCTTTCACTTTCCCCTCTGTGCTGACCTGCTGCTGCGTGTTTTCCTTCTGCTCTTTGGCTGGAGTTCATCTCAGGCTAGACAAAAGCCAGACACGTCTCAACTGTCTGTTTGTAACAAAGCAACACAGTGTGACCTCAGCAGACACGTGCTATTTTGTTATTGTGGGATGCTAAATGGTTTTTATTACCACAGAACTGGGTTGATTATGATGTTCATGCGAGTGCAATCATTCTGAACTGACAGGCCCATCAGCTGGAGGAGAAGGAGCGGGAGCTGAAGAAGCGTGACGTTCTCTACAAGGAACATGTGGCGAAACTTGAATCAAAGGTATTCATTTCTTTTCATATTGTGCTTTTTTTTTTTTTTTTTTTTTTTGTTTTTTTTTTTTTTTTTTTTTTAGCCACATAGGTTTCATAAATGGTAAATAAGAAGACCCGAGAAAACACATTATTGTTAATATATAACACATTAATATAACATTTCAGTTGTTCTTAAAGGAACCTGCAGGTCTGTAGAAGGATTTATGCTTTAAAGAAAAAAAATAAAATAGTTGCATTAACAACTGTTTTATTTTTCTTTGAAGCATAAATCCTAGGGTTTTAGGAATTCATTGTCCTCTGTCTGAATAGCAACAAACACCAAATCTTGAATTTAATGATGTTGAATTTAAAATGTTCAAAGTACAGACTTTAACCTATATTTTTTTGTAGACTCACGATCAAAAATACAGAAATTATGATCTCTGTTTTTTTATCATCAGCCGCACAAAACAAGCACAAATAATCTCAAGAATGACATTGACATTTATTTGTTGAAGAATTTTAGAGTAGAATAGTTCCTAAAGTTAATGTTGTTCCAAACTATGGGGTCTGATTTTTTGTTTGTGTACAGAAAAGCACATTTAGCATGTCTTTCGTATGATGTTTTTTAGGCTCTAATTTAAATTTCATCCTGATAGTTATGTGTCCTTCTTTATGTTTGACAGTGTACAGAGTTTTACAAAGTCACTGCTGAGAGTTTCCAAAAAGGCAAGGAGGACACGGAAAAGCGCTTCACGTAAGTCATGGGGTCTTTACCTGTTAACTTAATCATATTATCAGTAGCTAAGTACGTTTTTCAAAGCGTAAAATGATCCAGGACAACGACATAAGGTAGTTCTTGCATATTGCATCACGACATTCTCTGTAATTTTGCGTTAACTTTAAAAAAAAAAATACGATGTTGATCAGTGTGAACATTTGCATAAGTACATTCTACATAAGATTCAAATGCAGGTACATTTCTAACCACCAGATGGCAGCAACATATGTTATGGGTGGAGCAATTAAGTAAAAACAAGGGAACAATTACGTACCCCTCCACTCATACAGGTGGCGCTGTGAATGCATTTGAATGCTGTGTTGTTGCGAGCTTTGGTACAACATTGTTGAATTGTTTTTCTTGAAGTCTTATCACTCAGTCAAAATGTTTTCTCACAAGAATAAGTGACACCTTGAAGGCTGGAGATTAACAGCTGGATGAAAGAAAAAGGGAATTGAACAGACACACCTGAGCTAGCATACCCAGCTAAAGGTTTAGCTGTATTGCTAATGTAGCATAGCATAATAACACTTTCAAAAACCTCTTGGCTTCATGTCCTTTAAGACTTTTAAAATATATCTTGTTTTTAATATAATAATAATTTTTAAAAAAACGAACAACTGACAGTTTGGTTTAATGCTTTTTCAGTCGCTTCAATGTCCGGCCTGTGTGTGGAGACCTACAGAGTCAGATTTTGAAATGCTATAAGGAGAACACTGGAAAGACTCTGTCCTGCTCCGGCATTGCCTCGGCCTACATGCAGTGTGTGACCCAAGCCAAAAAGGTGCGTCGGGAACTCTAAATAGACTTTACATTTACTCGGCTGTTGCTGTTTGAACGTGAATTCATTTTCTCTTCTCTGCTGTATCTGCAGGATAAAATGGTCACTGGAGGTTAACACGGACCAGATGTCCTTTACATGCCTACTTCACAGATGTAGTATCAGAGACCAGGCGTCGCATGTATTTATGCCGAGTGTTTTTCTTACTTCACGCTGATTATTTGAGACGTAGAGCAGCTGTTCCTTCTGCTGCCAGTGTCACAAACGCACACAGCTAAGCTTTAAGTTATACCTCTGGTTCAGGGGGATCATTTTGAAACCTGTGCCAACCGCAAAACTGTGATCTATTTTACGGACAGCATTAGAGCAGATGGAGGTTCGTCGTGTGCATGTTATTTTTGATTGTGAATCCAGTGAGAATTCCCGGGTAGTATTTTTGTTTGGAATGCAGTGCTGAGTGTGTACAGCCTTAATGTGCCTTAAAAGTATGGAATCTGTTTGATGAGACTGCAGTTTCGTAACCTGACCTATTGAGGGGGGCAACGCTGAATGGAAGGACAAGTCACTGTATATGTGGTGTTAATGAATGATTTCAGGAAGTTATGGTAGGATCAATAAATTGTTTTGCTCAATCAAATTCTGACCTTTACTTATAAGTATAAATGTAGTCATAAAACACGAGGTCAAGGCAAAGAGTTTTTTTAAAATCATTTTTCATTTTTGTTTTGTGTCTAGTTACATGCATACAGATTTTGCGGGTGATCAATGCAAACCTTGGATTTGAAATGAGAAAAGGATGAAGTGGTGCTTGATATTAATTCTTACTATTAATCTTAAACTAAAAATCTTGTATTTTGTATAATTTTTTTAATTAAATTATACAGAAATCTGCTTTATATCCATCCAAATCTGAAAGGAAGTGACTCAAGTGTCAGGGTCTGTACTTGGGGACTTTCTGTCGATGCACGAGTGTCACGTGTTTTCAGCACTAATCATAAGTCACTGCCGGGTTTTTCAATTTTTATGCATGTATCATCTGAAGCAGATGCTTTAACAGCTGCTTCTAGACCCCTACAGGAGCTACCTGGTACTGCAGGAAGGTTGTGAAGTTTTGTAGTTGATTAGACCTTTTATATCATCTTTATCTGCATAGGGTTTAATATTTGGATCATTCATTCATTGGCACCACACCCACCGGTTTAAGATCAAATGCCTGGCTCCATCTTTTCTAGGGGGCAGTAGTGGCTTCGTGGTTGAGGAAGCGGAAGGTTTTAGGTTCGAGTCTGAGCAAGGCACCGTCCCCACTGCTCCCTTGAGCTGCTCCCCTGCTGACTGTGGCGATGGGTTAAAAAGCATAGGTCACATTAGGTTGTGTGCAGTTTAATGACTTTCCCTGAGAGATGTTAACAACCTCTACTCCGGCTAAAAGAGCCAACTTACTCATCAGCTCCCCACCAACCACCACCACCAAGTAGTGAAAACAGTTTGTCGTCTCCGTTTTCTGCTCCTGTGCCCAGACAGGGGGGCAGCTCTGTTTCACTCTCATTTCCGTATCCATGTTTATCTCCGAGCAGATCAAACACGGGTTTCTCTGACATTTCGAGGTTATAGTCTGACACCACAGTTTGCTGGGAGTAGACGGAATGTGGCACCCGTGTGTCTCTCTCCATCTCCTCTGGTCAGACTTGGTCTCTCACTGGAATTGAGGTAAGCACCCAGAAATCGCCGTCTTGAGGTCTTTTAATCCATCAATATAAAGTATTAAATTAAAAATGTCAGATCTGATTAAATAAACATTAATGTCTTCTATCTGTTAAGAGTTCTGAAGAATTCTCCACATGTTTACAGTCCCTGTAGAAATGGAGCGTGGGTGGGTGGATGGAGGCTAATAAAATAAAATGGTTATAAACAACATCGAATGAAAGGAAGTTAGAGAAAACAGAAGCCAATTTTGGTTGCGTCTATTCCAGAGAGGATACGCTGTTACTGTAACCCTGTCGCCCACACGGTGTATTCAGAGAAAGGAGAGAGTAACTGAAGTGAAGTTTACATAAAGACAGTGAGCATGCAGCCTTCAGCAGCATGGCAAATCCGCTCCGTGAAAAAGGAAACTTGTTATCAGCTCTACTCCTTGCTCATGGGCTTCTGCTTAAATGAAAACAAAAGGTACTGTGAAATGTCAGAATTGTCAGACACACTCTGGGCTCGGCGTCTGCTGAAAAGTGTTCAGATCAACTCTGGAGCTTGGAGCTAAACAATCCTGTCCTTCCCTCGGCAGCGCTATAGCGATAGTTACCAAGGACGTGTTCGAAAACCTGCAGTGGACTTGTGAAGAACTCTTACGCAATCGTTGTGTGTGTGTGTGTTTGTTCTCATTTTCTCTCTGTCACCATGATACTGACGCTCCTCTGTTTTATTCAGACTCCAGGTCATGTACGCAGCAGCTGTGACAGATTTGTCCAAAGAAACGCTTAATTTCACACATCATTTTTAGTCTTTTTTTCCCCCCAGGAACCTTCAACCAAAGTACACCAAAACATACTAGTTCTGTTTAGAAAGCTAACATTGTTTGACTTTACGTGAATGGAAAAACTCAGGCTAACATTGTTTGACTTTACGTGAATGAAAAACTCCACAAATTTTAAACAGAGGTCATTATTAGGATAGTACGCCCTTTTAGAAATGAACCTTTTGATGCCGAAAGAAAGAAAAACAAATGGTGCCTGATAGCATTTTTTTGAGCTCTCAAACTAGATGGTAACAGTTGCTCGAGGTGTCTTTCAACCTTGGGATCATGACCACGTGTGGGGTCGCCTGGAATTCGAATGGGGTCACCTGAAATGTCTAGTATTTTACGATTGAAAAAAATGACTGGTAAACATATTTTTGGTACGAATCGTTTTTGATATTTAAAATCTGTCTAGTATTTTACGATTGAAAAAAATTACTGGTAAACATATTTTTTTTAATTACAGCATTCTTTCACGTTCATCATGGGAACCATGGCTGTAGGTAGTGAAGGTGTTCTGGTTCTTGCGTGCCTCACCCATGCTAAGGCAAGGACCTTCCAGTGATGTAAACTCCAAACATCACTTAATTCCAAATGTGGTGTTGACCACAAAGGGACTTGAATCCTCAACCTTCTGGTCTGAAGGCAGATGGCCTCATCCATTAGGCCACGTGGTCACACTGCAGCTGTCTGAAGATGCGGGTTTGGCTCTCGCTTGTGAAATAACCCTTTGGTTTAGAGGAGAGCAGAGGAGTTGTTAATGCTCACGAGCAAGCGGTCATAGAGGGGATGCGTAGAGTGGAGATCTCGGATCTCGAATTAATTCCAGATAGGATCGTTTGGTCCATTTAATTAATTAGTTAATTAACCCTACAGCAACCAAGATATACATTTTTTTTTTTTAGATCTTAACATTACAACAGTATTTACAGTTTTGGTTTTGTTGACCTTCCTGCTGCCCCCGCGACCCGGTAACGGATAAGCGGCTGAAAATGGATGGATGGATGGATGGATGGATGGATGGGTTTTGTTGAACTCACGCAGCTGTAGAGAATTACAAGTACAGTACAAGTCAAGTCAAAACAGCGAAAGACATCGAGGCGGGGGAGGCTGTGTTTTTTTTTTTTTTTTATAGTCGACGTACAGGTTTTGTAGGAGAGATTTTATGGGATGATGCAGACAGTGACGACTGGAGCTGTGGGTGGAGGTCAGCTGCGGGTCTGTTTATTTCCATGGAAGCGTCTGTGGCTGGGGATTCATACACACAGCAGCGACAGAAAAACGAGAAGGCTAACACATGGGATCCTACAGTAGGCCACAGCAGTAGCAGGTGCCGGCAACACTGAACGAGGATGTTGGTGTTTGTAGAGTTGTTGTAGTGGTGATGGTGATGATGATGATGAGGAGGACCAGTCAGAGCAGAGCGGGGGGAGGGGGAGGGGGGGGTGGGGAGAGGGTTCGTGGTGCAAATCTGGGGGGGAGGGT